ATATCAAGCGCAATAAAGTTGGACAACAACATGAACTGTGCAGTGGTAGTGTGAGGGCCATTTGAGGGTGACCTCTTCCAGATGTATATAGCTAGCTTGTAGATAATACAGCGTCACGAGATAGCTCCGGACGTCATTTCCATTATGACTATGACGTTCTATAGTGGTGACCACCATGAAGCGGTCGCCATGATGATGGTAGACGTTGTCACTCGCATGGACTACTTATCATAACTGCTGGGTGCGTGTCTATGTGCGACGCTTATTATGGGGCCCCACTTACGCGGGCAGTCCAGTCCAATGAGCAGTAATGGTCCCTTGTACTCGTATCTCTACTCGTTTCACTCATCACGAATACCCGTTGTGACTGCTAGGCCCGCGTCTATGTGCAACGTTGATAAAGAGACTGCACCTATGCACAGTAACATAATCCGATGGACATTGAGGTCTTTCACACTCTTAACTATACGGGATGCCGCCTATCTTTGCTACATACAGTAAACATCAGTTCAATATACATGCCAACCGGTAAAAACAAGTACTCAACTATGTGCAATAGACTCATCTGACAGCCTGTCTTACTCACAACTGTACTCGAAGTCACCTAACTTGGCTACCGATCGTAACTGTTGAGTCCGTGTCGTTGTGCATACATACTTAATCTAATGGCAAACGACTGACCTCACTCTCAACTGTACGCGGTATCGCCCACCATGACTACTTTTTGAAATTGCCAGGCCAGTGCCTATATAAGACGCTGATTATTAGGCCTCAGCTATGCTCAGCGTCCCAATTTAACTACCAAAATGGCCCGTCATACCCATAACTGTGCGCGCTCTCGCTTATTTGTACTACTTATACCATCATCATCGAGAGCATGACATCAGTGTTCAACACCTATCTTCACTGCCGTGCCTACCTGTTACCTGTAGTAAACACCAAGCTAGTATCTATGCGGGCAGATAGAAACCAGGTTCCAGCTATGTGTGACACCCTAATTTAACGGCCAATGACGGCTCGTCATACTGGTAACTGTAGTCGACATCGCCTACCTTGGCTGCTTATCGTAATTGCAAGACCTGTATTTATCGGCAACGCTAAATATAAAAGCTTCAACATGCCCAATAGCCCAGTAAACGGCCAGCGACGGCCCGTCATATTCATAACTATACTCGATGCCACCGACCGAGGCTAATTTAAGTGTAAGCCAGGCTCAAACTGTTATATCTGCTGATTCGCCGGCCTGTGGTATCTGCTGCTGACCCGCTCCAGTGCCTAGTGTCGGAG